TCGTTCATTTTATCTTTTTCCCCTTCGAACGTATTTTCTATTCGCCCCGTTATTTTTCTCCCTTTCTCCCCGATAATCCCATGCTTTATCCAAATTATTATCGGAGGGGAAATTTCGAGGTTCAAAGTAACGGCACGTACTTTGTAGCGACGATGTAAACAATAATATCATCGTGTCCCGCATCGCATTCGCGTAACGGTGTGTCGCCGTTTATGCCGGGTGTGTCGCTAGTGTCGCCCAATATGAACGTATTTCGGAACGGACGGAAACGGAGCGTGTGCACGTATGTTGGAATGCGCGACCAGTGGAGGAAAATTTCGACCAATCCACTCGGATGATTGGAAGGAAACTGGCCAGGAAAATCAGATGTCGGTTACGGGCCTCGCCATTCTATTCATTGCATTTCAATCTGTAACGCTTCCATAGATTGTGCGCATATCATACACCGGGATAAACGACAGTGGCTCGCACGTAACAACGTATTCTTTTCGTTTTGTTTCTATATATATATATATATATAGTTGTTATAATAAATCTCGCATCATATAGCATCAATACGTTGTAGCGTATTTCACAGCGAATTTATTGGAAGCCGAGTAATAAATAACGCGCGGGAAGTTTGCACAGCTCGTTTCCTTGTTTCGTTTAATCCAAGAACTGGCGAGATACGTTTCTGATAGGAATCTTTTCTTATCTAAACGCGCGGTTTTTTCGATCCATCGTTCGTCCAATTCCGCGGACTGTCGCGTCATAAAGGCGGAGAATAAAATATGGAGTGATATTCTTTCTTTCTTGCTTCTTTTCTTTTCTTTTTTTTTTTTTTTATATTTAAATAAACCGATGTAGAAAATTCGATCGAAAATTGTTACCGAATTACATTTTCAGTTTCACCGCTGTTGATAAAATTATCGCTTTTCGAATTTTACCTTTAATTCCGGCCCCGAATATTGGCTTTGAGGACAAATTTATTTACCACCGCGCAATAAACATCGTTGAAAAAAATACAATTTCCCTTTTCCCATTTTATCTCGGACAAAGAACTTTCATTAGACGGTTCATTGTTGGTTGTAAAAAAAAAAAAAAAAAAAAAAAAGAAAGAAAGAAAAGAAAAAAATAAAAAAAAACACCAGACTAATTTCCATACTTAATTTTAAATGAAATTTTCAAAGTAACGAGAAAACTAATAACTCGTTTCGAACATGCGGCCAACGGTTTATGCGCTCCATAAAATTGCGCTCCATTTCCGAAGAAATAGACTCTGAGAAGAATTTGTCACAGATTTCATCGACAGATTTTCTATTAACGTAACTTTTCATCGCACCGTGTTAATCATATTTCGTTCATCTCGCTCAATATCGGCAATTACACGCCCCCTCCCCCCCTCCCCCGCACAAATTCCCACTCCATTACGCGATTAATTCGCGATAAAATTTACGTAAGAAAGAAAAGAAAAGAAAAAAAAAAAAAAAAGAAAAGAAAAGAATATATATATCAATGATCGTTAAATTATTTCAACGATAAACGAATCGTAATTTTCGATTTGTTGTTTCCACGATGTTAACAATGGCATCTGTCGAAAGGGAGCCGCGCAACAACGTTGACAAGTTCGCGAGAACCAACCACGATTTATTAATTACTCCTACCCCTCTACATTAATTTTAAATTTTTCAAACTTAATTTTGTTAGAGAAGGAAAGAAAGAGGTGGAAAAATTAGACAAAAAAAAGAAAAAAAGAAAAAAGAGAGAGATCGATCCAGAGGAAAAATAATCTCTCGACGAGTGAAAAGATATTCTTCCTTTCGACTAATCATTTATTCGTTCGCTCGAGCGCGCGAATTATCTCGATTTTCGTCCGAAATGCAATAGGAACAATTACGCAAGGCTAAGGCAACGTTGCCCGAGCGACCGCACGATGAAACGTGCCAGCGGCAATTAAACACCGTTTAAGGTCAGGCACGTGGAAAATGAACGAGAGGATGACCAATCGCAATTGCCGTTGTCAGGAAAGCATTCCTCGGATGCCATCCTCCTAACCGAGCGCCCTCTCTTCCTTCCTTCCTTCCTGATGATGACGATCGCTGTTTCTCCTCTCCTTCCTCCGTTTCTGATTCGCCTAATACGAGGCAATCGCGAGAAAACACGAAAATCTGGATCACCTGGCGGCTCCTTGTTCGATAACCGTGGGATGTATAATAATGAAACCGATTCGAAAGTTGATTAGAAACGATGGGATCGTTTGGGAAGGGAAACGTCGTGCTCGGTTTTGAATCGTGATGATGGAAAAGAGAATTACACACACATACACACACGCGTGACGTGATTCCATTGCACGTGGGTTAATAGACTGACGGGTCAGTTAATAGTTAGATTTATGGCACGATTTTCCCCTCCTCTTCCTCCCTGTTTAACGAAATTGACGAGGTCTGATATAACGGCCGCTATTTCACAGACGGGCGGCGAACGATTACCGATCGCGCGCTACTTGACGCGAGATTGAAAAGAAGAAAAAAAGGGGAATCTTTTCCGCGCCGTCGATAAAGAAAATAAAACGCGTGGATAGAAAAGGAAAAAGAGAAATATCCATTACTTTTTTTTTTTTTTTTTACCAAAGCCAATAATCCGACAAAGAGATCTCGAGGAGGTCGGCGATCAAATTCGATCTTCTCGATCCTTTTACGGTGTTTTCTTTCTTTCTTTTTTTTTTTTTTCCTCGAAAAGCGAAAAGCGAACACAATCGCCAGCGGCGCTCTCGAAAACGTTGATTTAACGTTGGTTATATCGCGCCGATGTACAAAGGGGAGGAAAAGGAAAGCAGCAGCAGCCGGTCGCGTCCCGGTGTAATCAAAAGGCGACGTGGAATTTGGCCACGAGGCGGGTGCAACGTTATTCGGGCGCGCCTTCGAATACGATTTTCGTCGGGAGTGGGATCGAGGAGTGGCGATGGCCGAATTCCGCCATTAGGCGGCGCCGATTGATCGACGAGTTCGTTTCGTTGTTGGGATCGGACGTTCCCGGAATTCTCCGCTTGTCCTTGTGTGAAAAGCACGGGAACCGACAGTTGTGATCGATTTCGCGACCGTTGGAGAGGAGGAGGGGGGGGGGGAGGGGAGGAGGATCCATCGCGCACACAGTCACACGGTTTAAAGGGTTGCGCGTATATACGATGGCGGACGATACCGTGTGTCGTCCACCATTTTCTCTTTCCTTTTTTCTTTTTTCTCTCTCTTTCTTTTTTTCCCTCGCCACTTACGCTGATTGCTAAAAGTTATCGGCGAGAATTAATCGGCGTCTAATCTTTCGACGAGGACAATTAGCGATTCCGATATCCCCGCCTATTTTCGTTAATGGAGAGAGAGAGAGAGAGAGAGAGAGAGGGGGAAGGGGGGTGGAGAGGGAGAAAGGGAGATCTGTGTTTCTATCTATTTTTTGGGAAACTTATTTTCCACGCTTTGATGTCTAATCGAGATAAATCAGTTGAATGGAAATTGATTATTCGACTCGTCCTATTCGCCCGTTTCCCAACATTCCCGTTATCTATTATTACTCGGATTCGTTCTTCTCGAAATTTTAACTTTTAGTTCGATATGTTCGATTATATAATATTATATAAATATAATATAATATATTATATAAATTGTGCCGCGTTGTTAATTCGTTTTGTCCAACGGGAAAGGTTAGAGGAAGCAGACGTTCGAAGATGGAAGGAAAGAGATTTGGGCGAAGACTTTTCCTATTTTATTGTTAAGCTATTGTTTAGTCGAGATCGAAATATTTGCGCAAATTATTTAGAGAGTATAATAATAATGATAATAATAATCAGTTTAATTAACGATCGAATTTAATTATCAATTAGATTATTAATTCGCTATTAAAATTCTCATTGTCGCGGAATTAATGTTTGAGTTCATTCCCGGATTTATCTATTAATCAGCTTTGATTGTTAACAATATATTTCGCGTAATATAATCACGAGTATCGAATAGAATATCGTAATTAAATTTTGGTTTAGAAATTGATCGATCAAATATCTCTAAAAATCAGATCTCTCTCTCTCTCTCTCTCTCTCTCTCTCTCTTTCTTTCGTATTTCAATATAAAATTATTAGTGATTGCGAAAATATTTTCGTAATTGGAAAGATATCGGAGCAATATTTCTTCCTATTACCTACAAATTTTGCTCGATACGAGGATTATCCAGGAATTATATATGAACGTAAACTGATACAGTTGTTTCAATGATAAATTCTCGACTTTTAATTATACGTTTCGTTTAATATTTCAGCTTAACGTAAAAACAACAATGGATTGTATCTCGCGTATGTAAATACGAGAAGCGTAAGTAAATTGAGGCGAAAAACCGGTTGGAAATTAGCGAGCTTGCGCTAATTCCGACGAAGAAAGTATCGCGATTGTTTTTAAAAGCGTAGCAGCTTTAAGGGATTAGCCGCGTTGTTCGTTACTACTTTAGATTAAAAAATTTAATAAAAAGGAAA